AATTTGCGACATAATTCACAGCAACCCGGGGGGTTCTGTTGCAGCATTGACAGTTCACTGCAGGAGTAGAGACTATTGGCGATTTATCACCTGATTAGGCTGTCAACAAGGAAAATGTATTAATAAAAGGCATATATATACATGTGTATATATATACGTTTAAACTGGTTAAGAAATAAAGATTGACCAGAAAGCATTTTTATAAGAATATTTCATAAATTCACAAGTATGGTATATATTGTATAAGCATTTTACGTTGCTTTTTTCATTCTTTATATTTTATTTTATTAAATTTGATTGAATTAAATATTATTTTTAATAGAGTTTGTTTTTATTTCTATTATTATTTAAATTAATTTAATTAATTTTTTGTTATTATATAATATAGTATTTTATTTTTTTATTCTATTTCATTTTGATTTATTTTAGCTTTTTAGTTTAATTTTATTATAATTTATTTTATTTGGTTTTACTTTATTTTGCTTAATTTCTTTTATGTTATCATATTTCATTTCAGTTTGTTTTATTTTATGTTTTTTCAATTTATTTTAGTTTTATCACTTTGTTTTATTTGAATCTATGTTATTGTATTTTACTTTGTTATATTTCAATTGTTTATGTTTATTTTTAATATATATTTATTATTTTTTCACTTGGTTTTATTTAAATTTATTTTCTATTATTTTAAATAGTTTTGTTTCATTTTGTTTTACTTTATTATATTTTATTTTATCTTATTTTATTTTTATTTATTTTATTTTATTTTATCTTATTATATTTTTTATACAATTTTTTGTTATTTTATTTTATTATATTATATTATATTTTATTTTATTATATTATATTATATTATATTATATTATATTATATTATATTATATTATGTTATATTACATTATATTTTATTTTATTTTATTTTATTTTATTTTATTTTATTTTATTTTATTTTATTTTATTTTATTTTATTTTATTTTATTTTATTTTATTTTATTTTTTTATTTTATTAAACATTTTAATAATTTAAAATTTTTGTGGCTATTATATCGATAAAAGCATTGTGTCTCTTTTATATAATAAAAAAAGGCTCAATACCTCACATATTTACCGAAAAATGTTCCCGAAAATATTTCTATTGCAATATTTAAAATAAAAACTGGTAACTAGCTGCAGCCGCATGAACAAAACTGCAATTGCGCCAGTTTAACACAGCAACAGTTGTTAGCATATCAGCAATAAGCGGTACCCGTCTAGACAAGCCACAAATCTCTGCACACACATTACGATATATGTATATATTTGTGGTCTTAAAGTATTAGAAAATTGTTGCGGATGACCATCAACAGCTACTGTGTAGACACTAATCAATGAGATGGTGACTTATGAGCGTAGTCACATGGGTATGTGTATATACTCGAATATGTACATATAAAGGGTGATTTTTTAACTATTATCTTTTTGGCAGCAATGGTTTAAACAACTGACGCACGTTTCGTGTTCGGTATCTCAGTCAAATCCAGAAATAGTCACTGTTTCGTGCGGTTACTGGGCTGCTGGCATCATTGGGTTGTACTTCTTCAAAGATGATGCGAATCGCAACGTAACTGGTGAGCCCTACCGTGAGACGATATCAAGCTTTTTTTTGCACAAAATGCAAGTGCTTGACTTGCATGCCATGTGGTTTCAACAAAACGGTGCCACATGCCACACAGCACGCGTAGCAATAAACTTATTGAGAGGCGAGTTCGTGCGATTTAACGTCTTTAGACTATTTTTTGTGGGGTTACGTTAAATCTAATTTCTATACAGACCAGCCCGATTCAATTGAAGCATTGGGGGACAACATTGCCAGTATTTATTTATGAGATACCGACCGAAATGTTGGAAAGAGTATGTCAAAAATTGGAGTAAGCGGATGGACCAATTGAGGCGCAGTCACGGTCAACATTTGCATGAAATAATATTCAAAGAATAAATTATATGTACCGTAATATCGAAGCAAATAAATATTTCACGCATTATTCTAAAATTTATGTGTATTTTTTTTAAAAACTTTCCTTAAGCTCCTAAAAAATCTCCCTTTGACTTCTAAGCTTGCTTATCCGCCAACTGCGTATTTACATTTACGTCATTTTGGTAAACTGAATTTTTATTACATAAACACTATATTTATGTGGTTCCAAGGCAAATACATTATGTCTACACATATTTCCTATGAACACAGTAAAAAATACCAGTTTTTAGACAGATTTTATTTTATAAAAAAGTAAAATTTTGAAACTCTATTCTGTATAGCGAACACATTTTTTCATAATTTTTTTTTTTAATCTCGCTTCATGCACCATCTAGAGGGCCCATTGTCCTTCACAAGCACATTACTTGTTTTATTTTTCTTTCTGAAACTTGAATATAGATTTTATGAATATTTTGTCTACCGATGTCTCTATTTATGTTTTTTTTTTAAATATTATGTTTCCTTTACAATACAATAAATGAAAAATGCTTAATTTCGCTTCGGTTTTTGGCTCCTCAGCCGTCGGTACTTTAATGGCGTTCTTCAATCCACTTGACTGATTACAGTGTTATTTTAGGTCCAAAAATACAAATATGTAGAAGCTGACGCATAAGTTCGTGATAATACTTCTTGAAACCAGGGAAGCAGAAACTGCAGTTTTTGTTTGTTTTGCCTTTGTCTTTGAAATTTAATTTCTTGTAAGACAAAAACCATTTATTATATCATCAAACTTAGAGTGATTTCATCGGTTTTAGTTTTTCTGGATCCTTTTCTTCGGACAATTAGGCTTAGGTTTCCTTTCGATAAATTGATGATCTAATTTACCATAGTTGTGTGATATATGACCATGAACGTTTTTCTTTGATGCTGCCGTAAGTGATCTACATTTCCTCATCAACCACTAACTGATTCACAAAGTGGTCGATTTTTGAAGTCCATGAGGTTTTCTTTTCATTAACTCATGTGACACCCATACATCGGACTTCTTTGTGTTTTCAGCCGATTTTAAGTGGTTTCAAGGTGGTTTTTGTGCAAAGTTTAGCTTCTGAAAGTTAGACTCACCGATTTTTAATTTTTTATCGGCATTTTCGACAATTGACCTTACATCCCGTGCATCATTTTTATGTAAAAATTGCCGTAATAATGTGTCAAGTGATCAACACTTATCCCATTTTCTTTTTTAGTACTAAATATAATCTCTCTAACGTCATCCAACAGCTCAACAACAGACAGCTGTCTAACCTAACATGTTCAAAACGAATCGAAAATCGAGTTTGAAAATACACTTGTTTCCAATTTTAAGAGTTACTATTTTCATTTTCGCGAATTCTCTTCAGTGTAAATGGCTTCTGGGCAAAATTTTGTGTTTCATCATCGTCATCAGCGTAAAAAAAAATGAATTAATTAAAGTCAAAATCTAGATTTTCTTTATTTTACCGCAATATTTGCTTTTCAGCGCTGGTTTTATGCGGCTGTGCAGCAATGTTGATGGCGATTATTTGTAATTAAGATATTGCAGTATATTTTTGGTGACTATTTTTTAATTACTTATGGCGATTACGTCTGAGAGTATGTACGTAATAAAATCACAAAAATAAAAAAAATTGAAAAAATATAACAATGTATATGAGCGGTGAAGTTCAAAATGGTCAAAGATCGTTTGAAAACTAAGATTCATTTCCTAACAAAACAAAAAAACTTTTGAAAAGAAACGCCAAAAAACACAGCTGCTGAAAAAAAGCAAAATATTTAAACCCCAAAAAAATATTTACAACATGATTAAAAAATATTAATTATAAAATGTCTATGCCAACAAACGAGATTACAAATAAAGCCATACCCGAAACAAAATTAAAACAAATTTATAAAAAAAAAAAAAACAAATAACAAAAGAAAACAATGCAAATGAAATAAACAAGATGAAAATTATTTCAAATGGAAACTTTATTAGCAACAATTGCTTTCAAAGCAGCTTTAACAATTTTATTACATTAAAAAGCATACGTGCGTATGTATGTGTGTGTAAGTCAACTCAATCTATAGCAGGTTCACCTCAAGGTTAAACTTTTGTTAGTCAAATTTGGCGACAATAATGAGGACAAAACAAAAAAATGTCCATACAATTGAGCCATCTTCGCTAATGACTGCGCGCTCGTTAACAGTAACAGTGCAAGCAGAGCAGCAGTAACAGCTGCAACAGAGCAGCAGTAGCAGAACAGCATTGAGCAGGGCAGGTTAACAGCTATAAATCACGCTGTAATTTAACATTAACATAATGTACGCTGACGGATGGATGAGCATTGCAGACATCACGTGCATGTTACGAGCATACAAAAATACATAAATCGCTTATAATATATAAATACATACGTATTTGTGTAGATATGTGAGGTAAATAAAAGTCATACAACAATTGTCTCTTCATTATTTCGCGTATTGTGACGACAGATCTTCAATTTTTATGCGACGTTGCTCCTATTTCTTCGGTTGTATCTCTGTTGCGTTCAAATTGTTGTTAGTGTTTTCACTCTTGTTATCGTTGTTGTTTTTGGCGCATTTGCTGAAATTTGCGCTCAACATTTTAAATTGCTGCCGCTGGGTAAAGCGAAAAATCGCAGCAACAGTAGCATATGCACATACTATTGTATATATATACAAATACATAATCACACACGCATACAATACACAATTTAATTTTGTGAAAAACGAAGAAAAAATAGCAACAACAAAAGTGGAGAGTTGCATTCACTTGTAAGCGCTGCGCCGCCACTGTCGCTCTTTACCGCTGCCACTTTTGCGGCTGCTTTAAATTACATGCAGGCAGAAATTTGTATTTATTTATGTATGTACATATATACACACACCTGCTTGGTAGTGGATTTGTATGTTAGTTTGATTGTTTGTTTTTGTTTTTGTTTTTTTTTTCGGACAGCACGCTTGCGCGCAACATATAAAAACATCACAGCGCCACTGTTCGGTTATCAGTTGAATTTAGTCGCTCTACACATTGCAACGCCGGTTAAAAGTTACTGGATTTTCTTACCAACTTTAGCAACCAAAAAGACGCTTATCACACAGCCCCAATATGACCGCCCTCAAAGTTTTCGTAAGTGCTGCCAGCTATTTTTTTTCCTTTTTTTTCAAAATGTGCCATAAGGCACCTTGTGTAACAGTGTTTCAATTTAATGCATTCATATATATGTATATATGTATGTGTGTACAGTATGTAAAATGGCTTGTGGCAAACAGTTAATAGAGTAATAAATTTCGAACAATAATCAAGCAAGTTTGTGAATATTTTGTTGTGCAATCGATAAAAGTGACTCGTTATTGGTTGAGTTTCTGCAGAAGTGACGTCAGAAAATTAAAAGAAAAAAGACAATAGAGAACAATGAACAGTAAAAATTATATAACAAAAATTAAAATATACATGTGCTTATACTATGTGTGAGTATAGTTGACACTGCGATAACGCCAAGAATAAATGGCTGTAATTGACTTGTCACCAATTCCATTTACCAAAAAAAAACTACTTTTGATATTTTAATTTCGTGACAAAATGAAATGTAAATTTAGAAAGGTGTGTCGTACGAAAATTGTATTACAAGTTATATAGCAGTATATAATTTTTTTTTTAATTTTCGTATGTGGCAGTAACATCTAGATCGCAAGGATTTCGGAGGAGGCGCTTTTTAAAAATTAATAAATTTATTGTTTATGCATTCGACTTGTAAAATAATTGTAATACCTCTAAGAAGGATTTATTTTATATTTTTTTCAATCATTATATTTCATCCATTCGATTTCAAAAAATTATTATAATACGACAAAAGGACTTATTTCATATTTTTCCTGGTTTTTTTAGTGAAAAACGAAAGAATAGTAAAAAAAAAAATTAACAAATAAAGTTTTTTAAGTCAGCTACATATATTTCAAAAATTATTTTTTAACCAAAACTGTATTTCGACATTGAATAAAATGCTTCTCAATCCTCAGAATTGAAAGGCTCTAGAGCCAGAACTCCAAGCCAGTATTCCTTTGTTGTACAGGATACACCGCTTAATCCTCAAATATTGAATTAGTACAAATATATAAGTGTTATAAGAAGAAAAATATTTGATAATATGCCTATAGGCTGTTGAAGAAGGTCCATAATACAGCCAGCTACTTAAAGTTATATTAAATGATTTTTTTTCATAAATTTGTTCGGATTCTTAAAGGTTTATTATAAGTATATTTAAGTAAAATAAGTTGGAAAGCAGAAATTTTAAGATTATTTTTTAAAATATTTTATGAAATTTAAATATTTGCGAAAAAAATATCTGGTTTCAAAGTTATGGTATGGGGTTATCGACTTCCTGATGACTGAGAACGCAAACAAACCTTAAAACCCTTTAAAAATCACAAAGAATAAAACCACTCCACACAGTACTATCTTGAGTATTGACTGCAATAGTCAGCGCTCAACGAAGAGATTGACATAGCTCCAAAATTTGTAGCAAATTTCAGTTCATTTCTCTCATCTTGAGCTCCTCGTCTAAGAAGCAAGCGGTTACTACTGAAATCCTCTTATTTAAGCTGTAAAAAGGAAGCGAGTGTTACTTATACAGTCACACCTAGTTGAGATATAACTACGTAAGCAAGAAAAATCTATGATTCTCGAATTTTTACCTCTTCGGAACGTGCATAAGTGATATTCGTTGTTCTCGCTCAAAAGTCTGGAAATTAGCATTGGTGGGCAATCTCTAAGAACAGAAAAAAGTCACGGGCCCCTGAACTCTCCCCTATCCAGGTTTCACTGTATTAAGTGCTAAGTTTGAACCCAAGCTTTTTGTGTATTTGCTTGATGGTTTATGGCATGTTTTCGACTTGTTTTTTGTTTTCCACATGTGAATCCTTTGTCGCTTGAGTGACATTATCTTCGCAGCCTTGCTTCCGGTTAGTACTTCCCCTTTCAAGATCCTAGATATTTATTTTTTTTTTGCATAAAATATTGAGATTTGAAATTCGAAACTTCTGGCGAACTGCATTATGTAAGTTCCTAACTCTTGAAATTTAAAAAGCTTCTCACATAAAGGTATGGAATACTCTGATCTACACAGAAAAAAAACCCATTGAAATGTATTAATAACTTAAATATTTTTATTCTATCTAATTGATATTTTCAAAATATATTTTCTTGTTTTCGAAAAAAATTTCGCACCAAAAACTATGCCGAGCTTTGACATTGATATTTGTTGCAAGTTCTGTTTACTTCTATAGTACTTTCTTTAGACAATATTACAGCATAATTTTAGGAGCGATAACTCCAGCTATAGTTAGTTTATAATCCTCACTTTTTAGAGATTTAGATAGAGTATCAAGTTGGTCAAGGTTTTGCTTAGCTCGAAAATATTATTGTAACTGATCATACAAGTGAGTCGTACTTGAACATTTCTTAAATCTGCTCTTTTTGTTGTCAATTAAGACAAACTCTTTTTTGTTTAGGAAAAAAATTTTTTGTTCATCAACAAAACACAATTACCAATTATTTTAATGAGTTTTGAAAAATTTTCTTCTGCAGATTGCAAAAATAGTAATTTAAAGCTTTTATATTGTAGTTTCCAAATTTTTCGTAAAAGCCTTTAAGGAGCTTGAATTTTTTCAATTTTTTCATTTTTAAAATATTTTAATTTTTTAATTTAATTCTTTTTATTTATTATTGCATAATACTTTTCTATATAAATACTACAAATATGTATAGTAATTTTGAAGGAAATGGCAACCCTATTTCAAAATATGTCCAGATAAAAAATACTTAAATACTATTAATTTTATAACATATTATAAACGGTACTTTATTGCTTTTGTAGACAAGCTTATCATTATTATTTTTTATCCCAATGTTTTTTTTTGCTGTTTCTATGCTTATATAAACCCAAAATGATTAATTCACATAAATATTTTTTCAGGTGATCTTCAGTGCGCTCTTCGCATTGGCCTATTGCGCGCCAAATCCTGGTTTCTTCGGTGGTGGCAAACAGTAAGTAGCAAATAACGGTAGCGCAACTTGATTTATAAAACAACAATTACAATTTTTATGCAAGACCTTCCTTTAAAAATTACACTTATTGTATTTTAATTGACCACAGTTGCGTTAAATACATATGTACATATATATGAGGCGTAATATTTTCTTATTATTATTATTTTTTTTTTTTAATAAATAAACCGGTCAACAACCCAAACCACTGTCAACTAAATAATCACCAATTATGCTGTGGACTCGATTGGTTGCCATTTTTTTTTTAATTAAATACATATCAATGCTAAATCGATATAAAATTTCCAATAAATGCATGTACATATGTATATACGTGTATGCACGTATGCAGGAAAGCAAATAATCAATCGGCTCAAACGATGACAAACTTGCAAACGCAGGAATTTCTTGGACACACTCTATTGTCAACAGGCAGCAGGTAGCCAATGCCATTGCCGTTACTATTGTAGTATTTATTACCACTGTTGTTGTTGTTGCTGCCGGTGTTATTAGAAAAAAAATAATTAGCTGTGATAAGCATAAATTACTGAAAGATAGCGTACATTGGTCTTCTGCCAAGCGATACAACTACAATCGCATGCTCACACTCACACTCACACGCACACACTTTCACACACAAAGATTATAACATTTAATTAGACAGACAGACACACAGACAAACGCACATGCAGACAAGTGGGGGGACAATCAGTTAGACAGTTAGTCAGTTAGTCAGTTGCGCATGCGTAGCTCCCGCGGTCTTGCGTAAATTGTCAACTTTTCGTTATTATTTATTGTGGCACTCGCTCAACTTTGTTTGCCGCGAATGCGGTAATAGCATTCAGGCAGACTAACGGCGGAATAATTGAATCGTTTTCACTTTTTATTTGAATCCCATTTTAATTGTGTGGTATGAGGATAGTCATATTAGCATTTTTTTTTAATATGAAAAGCAAAAATAATAAAAAAAAAATATTTCTATGAATATAAAAAAAGGTATTTTAATTAACGTTGCATTCATCGGAGCAATTTTCTGAAGAATGCACTAAAAACTATTTTCCTTTAATTAAAAAAAATAAAACCTACTCTTTATATAATATACAAATTTGCATACATACACGAGGTGTGTTTAAACAATGCAGGGAAATTCAATTTTTCTCCAAAAATATTTATTTATTCAACAATTTTTATTACGTTTCAAGTAGCTCCCCAAGCTATAATACATAGGCTCCACAACATAGACTTCAACTCCAGAAAAATCTAGTTTAAAAGAATACTTTTTTCCTTTATACTTATGAATATTGTATATTTAAAATTTTTTTAGAAATATAGGTCAAGTAAGAAGTTCGTTCGGGTTTTTATAATAACTTTGTGTACGTTCGTAAACGTGTTGCCAACGAGATGCCAACTTCAGAGGGGTATAACTCTTGTAGAAGGCTGCGTCCCTATTGGCAAAAAACTCGGAGACCCAATTTTCACAGGCCTCTCTTGAGGACTATAAGGTGGGTGCATTAGGATCTCCCATCCGAGCTCTTGGAGCTTCTGGCGCGTCAGCAAAGACGTGTGTGGCCTGGCGTTGTTCTGATGGAACCCAATTCGGCCTCTGTTGATCAAAGATGGCCCCTTTGGATGAGTGCTGCCTTCAGGCGGTCTATTTGTTGGCAGTAGACGGCCGAATTGAGCTTTGACTATAGAGGAGCAGCTCGTAGTAGATGATTCTTTGCCAATCCCACCAAACACACAGCAAAACCTGGTGCATCTATGACAGTCAATCAATCGAAAAACTGTCAAAGCAAAACACGTTTCCAAGATAAAAACCGAACTTTTTTCTTGAAAAAAAAAACAAAATTTTTTCAAAAAAGTATTCAACTCTTTACAACAGAGCCACACCCATAACATTTAGAAAAAAAATTTTTTTTTTTCATTTTTCAGTTCAATTACTGTCAGTTTTAGCATGAAAATAAACCGAATTAATGCCGAATTTCAGTCAAATCGAATACCATTGCGCAGAAGCCAATTGCGTTTGATGTTGGAGGGTCATAGAAACAAATCTTCGAGTTTGATTTTTCTACTTATGAAGGATTTTGAAGATTTATTTTCATTAAAAGATAGACCTTCACGATTAAGCTTTGGAGCTAGATAATTTTTTCCAAATTTTTCTTTAATAAAAAACTAGGTTTGTTGGTCTGAGATCTTTTCAATTCAGACAAAATTTTTGGTTTTAGCTACATTTCATCCAACTTTCAAATGTGATCAAGGACCAACTTTATGCTCCACCGCTTAACCTAACTACACTTAGCGAACATTTTACTCAGTTTAATCAATTTATTTAAATTCTTCTAATCATATATGCTCACCTCCGTAAGGTTGAATCTGGGGTGGCGTGAAAGTTGTGACGTCTCAATTAGCTGAAAGCCGGATACTAGCAAAGGAAGGCTTCGTCATCATTTTTGCTCTGTACTAAACCAATTCCACTTTACCCAGCTGGTGGGGATGATAACTCAGAGGTAGATGCATCGTTAGTACTCCCACAAGAATACTAAGTTCTCGTTTGTATAAATCTAGTAACAGTTTTGGTCCATCTACAATCAGCTCTGTCCCACAATAATGTGGGAGTACGTACAATGATGTGGGAGTGTCTTTTCAATACTGTAATTTTTTACAGATAATGTTTTCGACTGGACTCAATTTTCCAGAATATTTAGACGGCTAGCTATTGGCACTGCCTCATACATAGTTTGTATATTAATTGGCCTAATGTCAAGTATGACTTCAATTGCCGTAAACGAGATAATCCTCATCGCGCCTGCTACAACAAGTAGCCAGATACGTTGCACTTGTTCCAAGGATTTAATAATTTTACCTCTTAAAGTTGGTATTTTGAATTGTTGTTCTTTCGCCTTTCTAGTAAAAAGGTAGATCTTAGATTTCCTGGGTGGAATGAGAGAGAGAGTAGCGGCCGCGGTAGCCGAGTGGTTGGCATTACGTACTGAGATTCGGAAGGCTCGGGTTCATATCTCGGTGCCATCAACATCCAAATGTTATGGAAAATTAATTAAAAATTAAGCTAAATTTTCTAATTGCGGTCACGCCTCTTATTATCACCAACTTCAAATTCCATGCGGACGAATGAATGACTTCTTCTTCGCGCACATTGACCAACAAGCTTTTAAACTGGGTCTACATATAGTTATATTTAGATTCAACATTTTCTTAGAATTATTTTTCTTTTAAACGCTAATCTATCTTATTTACACTCTTCTTCAATCAACCACACAGCGAGCATCACACCATTCACGTGCCCTACAAAGTTCACACCATCCACCATCATCACATCAAGAAGGTGCCCGTAATCAAGGAGGTTGAAGTTATCAAACACGTGCCCATCTACAAGGAGGTGCATGTGCCCGTCATTAAGGAGGTGCATGTGCCGGTGCATGTTCATCACGAGGAGGAACATCATCATGTCGAAGAAGATCATCATGATTACCACAAGGGTGGCTGGTATTAGAGCGGGAGTTAGGCGTGCTCCGTGCCACGTAAAGGCGTTGCCGTTGGCAATGCTCTAAATACCGTTTTAGTTATATACTGTGTAAATACAATCCCACATATACATATATATATATATATAGAGAACATATATGAAATTTAGCAATTGTTTAATTTTATTTTTTTATTTTTTTTTTTTTTGTTGATTTCAATATTTTCATTATATTTTTGTTTTTCTTCTTCGTTTCAATTTTTTTTGTAATTTTTTTAGTGTTATTTAAACGCACGCGCGTTTGTCCATGTGTACAAATCATTCATTTTACCTGACATATACTTATTTTTAATTGCATATTTTCGAATTTACTTTTATTCTGGTCTATTTAGTTGTAATTGCCTTTACTTCTTTTATGAATGTTCCAAATTTTTTTTTTTAATTTTTCCTACCAATTCCTGTTACTACTGTACATACATACAAGCACTCGATTTTTTGTTTCGTGATTTTTCTTTGTAAATAATTTTTATAGCAAGAATTAGTTTTATTTTTATGTTTATAACACATCTATACACAAGAGACCTATGAAAATGTATGTAAAAGAAAAAAAAGAAAATAAAGCGAAATAAAAAATATCAAATAAACGAAAAATCATGTTTTTATTGTTGTGAGTGAAAATGTTGAAATTTATTTCCTACTTGACGAGCCTAACAGATAAAAGTGATATAATTTTCTTACACACATACAAACATACACCTAAGGTAGCTTTCGGTATGTGTATGTGCATTAACAGTTATTTATAAATGTGCAAAAATTTGTGCATTGTTTTAGTTTTATTTTTTTATTATTTTTTTTTTAATTTTCCTTACATACATTTTTACTCAACCAACAATGTAGCCCACATACATATGTTTCTTGTGTGTATGTATGTATGTAGGCACTTACAACAATGCTACTACGGCAGCAGGAAATACTTCAAAAAATTTCAAGTCACAAAATTTGCGTTACAATTGCCGACAGCTCTTAGCGCTTCGTCTGCATTGTCTCCCTGATTTTTTCTGGTTTTTTTTGTTTTATTTTCTTAGCTGCCGCTTTTACCGCTAAATGACTCATGTTTGACGAGCTGGTAAGTAATTGCCGCAATTTTCACATGCATTTGGAGTGGCGCATGAATTCCATGTGATCTATAAACGGCTGTTGTTGCTCGTACTCCTGCTGGTAGTCATTAACAATTGTTTAGAGTTGTTGGAGTTGTTGTTGTTGCATGTTATTCGGAATCAATTGAATTTAGCTGAATGAAAGACATCAACTATTTTTTTGTGAAAAATTTCCAATTATTTTATTTTTAAATTAATTTCAACGTCTTCAGCTGCTGACTATATCCAAATTCAATTACTGTGTTCTCATCACACTCCACGCCACCGCAACGAATATGATTTAAGAGTTCACTAGAGGCTGAGTTCACAACGTCTGTAATCTGTGCTGCGGCTACGAGCGGGCGTCGGTTTTGAAGCAAGCGGCTCGCTATATAAATGTGTCCAAATTTTAAAACTACTCGCAAAGCGTAGCCACTTAGAAGCCAGCCTATGAAGAGAGACACCAATTGTACTAAGGACTATGATTGGAAGGCATTCATGCATGGGATATCCAGTTCCTAAAGTGGGTAGGTGTCGCTGTCTATTTGGTTGATGTCCACGCAAAACTAAAGGCTTACATCAGCGCTGTCCAAAAAGTGGGACAGACAGGACAAGAACAAGGACGAAAACGTAGGATACCGTTGACATCACAACGATGAGCTAAACGAGGCATACGGCGACATTGATGCCCGAAGTCCAATTAGAAGTTTTCTACTCATATAAAAACTGCATAATTTTTCCGAGCTGAAATCGCGAGCACCTTACAGCATACTCGTATCTTCATATTTAGCGATAATGTTGAAATAAAAGCGTTTGAATTTCACTAGACTAACGCGTATCTCTGCGGGAGATGCTAAATTGGAACAGATTATCTCCCACCTGACCATAGGAATGTGCTGTGAAGCTGTAGCGCAGGCCAACCTTTTAATCAAGGCGCGAATAAACGAAATCAGCTCAAGAAATTACAGGAAATCCGAATAGAGAGCACTTCTCTGCAATGATAGGAGGCTTGACAGACCACTTATGTTTTGAAGCTGTAAGCTGTAAGAGTGAAAAGACTGCTTGCACAACAAGATTTTGATAGTGAGACGTTACCACGTACGACTAATGAGGAGAGATCGAGATAAACGCCCCGATAATTTTTGTGAAGAAATTGAATGCGAAGGAGACTTTAGTGATTACGCAATGGACCTCACTCTGGTATAAATTGATTGCTATATCGATCAACCCCTTACCCCTTGGAGGTTTAAGGGGATAGGATGATTAGTAACTTCAAAAACAATGAAAGACCGCTTTTCAATCAAATTTTTTTTTTACTATTTTTACAGGCAAAAATAGGCTGATTTTTATGTGAAAATGGTACCGCCGAATTTAAAATTGCGCCAAAAATTAAAAATCGCTTAGTTTTCATTATAATTTCGCTCATCCGCACAAGAAACTTTTGGTTGCCCAAAAAGTAATTGCGGATTTTTCAAAAGAAAGGAAATGCATTTTTAATAAAACTTAGAATGAACTTTAATCAAATATATAATTGCCATTTTGTTCGATAACCTTTTGCCATCTTCCTGGCAAATTTAGTATTCCACGCTCATAGAACTTCTGGCCTTTATCTGCAAAAAACTGAACCAAGTGCGATTTTATGGTAGTCTGATGGTGCAAGGTCAGGGCTATATGGTGGATGCATCAAAAGTTCCCAGCCAAGCTTACTCAGTTTTTAGCGAGTGACCAAAGATTTTTGCGGTCTAGCGTTGTCCTGGTGGAATATGACACCTTTACGATTGACCAATTCTGGTCGCTTCTCCTTGATGGCTGTATTCAATTTTGGTTCCTTGGAAGCAGCTCGAAATATACGTCACCCTTCCAATCCCACCAAACAGACAGCATAACCTTCTTTTGGTGGATATCAGCCTTTGAAGTGGTTTGAGCTGGTTCGCCATGCTTGGACCATGATCGTTTTCGATTAACGCTGTTGTAAACAATCCATTTTTCATCTCCAGTTATGATTCGTTTTAAAAACGGATCGAATTCATTGCGTTTAAGGTGCATATCACAAGCGTTGATTCGGTGTGTTAAATGAATTTCTTTCAATACATGTGGTACCCAAATATCAAGCTTTTTCACCAGTCCAAGACTTTTTATGTGATAATGAACGGTTGATTTTGGTATATTTAACTTCTCTCCTATCTCACGCTCAGTTACATGACGATCCAATTCGATTAATGCTTTGATTTGGTCATCATCAACTTCATTTGGCCGACCTGAACGTGGCTCATCTTTAAGTGAAAAATCTCCAGAACGGAATTTGCGAAACCAATTTTGACACTGTCTTCCTTTTAAGGCTTCATCACCATACACATCTCGTAACTTTTTAGCAACCTGCTCCGCGTTTTTTCCTTTACGGAAATAATAAAGTAAAATATGACGAAAATGCTCCTTTGTGGGCTCCATATTAAAATTGACGCCAAACAAACAAATGTAAACAAAATTTCGCGCACTTTTTTTCTAAAGCAAGCTAAAAGTAACAGCTGATAACTGACAGAAGAAAGAATGCAATTACAGAGTCACAAGCCGTAGAAAAAATTTGTCAACGCCGACTTTATGGAAAAATCCGCAATTACTTTTTGGGCAACCCATAATACATTAAATATATCAATTACTTTTTTTAACTCAGATAACACTGGGAGGTCAGGTTTTGCGCAACGCAACACGACTCTTTTTGAAAGCGATTCCGACTAACCGCCGTCACGGGAAAAATAATAATAATTTTTTGACCAAAAAAAAAATCCGAGATATTCACCACCGTTAGCCATTTATCATGTACAAAACTCTTGAATAATAATAACCACTTAAAAATGTGAAAAAAAAATCGCGAAAATGTGTCTTTTTTAGCCTCCGAAACCGTTAAAAGCTCTTAGGGGGAAGTAATATGCCAAGTAGAGCCTTTTGGCTTACAGTCATCAGATCAGTAGGACTCGCACAGCATCAAACAGTGAGAAAATGAACCAGATCATTAAATTTTCTCACTTTTTTTGTGTTTGTTCTTTCCTTTTCATATCTAAGAACCCACCAAGTAATTGATATTAATTTATTCCGATCTCGTTAGCTTTGAGACCATTCTTTTACACACACTCAGAAGTGTGTATGTAAGTTACACGGCATCAAGGAAGACATAACTTCAGCTATAACAATGTCCAACTAATTGAAAATGCGATTAAAAAATTGATTTTATGAATATAAAGAGCTTAGCCAAAGATAATTTAAAGCGCAAACTTGTCTATGATTCATACACACATGTTTGTATATATATATATATGTATATATCGAGCGCAATGTAAAACGGGTTCACTTTAGCTGTTGTTGTTTTTGTTGTTGCAAAAAAAAAAACTCGCACAACATTTTTAAGTGCTTGTACTAAAATTAATACCAATAAAATTCCACATTTGTCAGCCAAGCAGCGCGCATGGCGCACACAGTGGGTGGCAGTTGCAATGGAAAATTGTCATATAACTGTAATTTGAGAGCCATAAATGACCACAAGCAAGTTGACCAGATAATTTAAGAAACGCCATTAAACAAAGTGCTCACATAGCAAGTGCTCATTATTCTCAAACAGGTGTGCTTGTGGGTGTATGTGTGTGTATGTAATTTAGGTTAGGGTTGTTACGGATTTAGAGGTTTTAAAATTATACTCTTAGAGTAAAATGTCAAACCACAATCAGTGCTCAATTTAGCCTTATTTTATTCGCTACTTGATTTTTTCACATTTTTTTTTATAGAAACCAGAGTCAAAGAGGTTAAAATTAATGGTAAATTCCCATCTTTCATAACTCAAACCCACGGAAACCATGCTGGGCGCTCAATCTTCCAAGTAATGTATATGCAAATCTATCGGGGTTGGAGCTCGAAGCAAAGGCTTTGGTAGAAATCGGCCGTACATATGTACGTCGAACTTTTCGAAAGAAAGGTTTAGCGGCACAGTTATAGTCGTCGGCGTATCGACGACGGCGAATATCGCAGACGATGGAATTGCAAGACATAGACTCGGTCATCCCAGAAAGTTTTCGACGCAGCATATGCCGGTGGAAAAAGAGAAATACAGAAATATCCACAATAGGAGAAATGATGTGGAGAAGGAAGCCCGAAAGAGGCGATGATCATTTAAGCTAATTATAAAGAAGAAGCAGACTAAAGCAACACCGTTAATGTGTTATTAATATTTGGAAAAGACGTCAATACGGCGCGTTTAAAGGCGACTGAACCGCTAGATCAATACAGCGACTCTGTCCACTTAAAAATATCAATAGGTGACCAGTCTACCACAGTCAAACTAAAAATCAGCATCCGTATGGGCCAAGATCAATTACCGCTCTGTGGAAAAAATTAGACAGAAACTAATCCCAGCCCAGTGTGCTATGTTCCACTTTGGCAGAAAAAGTTGAATTTACCAGCCACCAGATTCAAAAGTCGAAACTTTTCGTCCTGTTTTATCGGAAATGAGTTGGGCAAAGAGCAGATGTAGAAAACAAGTTCCTCAAAGTGGAACCAATATCTCGTTCGTCAAGGGGGTCTCAGTACCCGAGTAGTTGGCAGTACGTGTTACGATACGGGATCAGACTTTATCGAAATTATTGGGAAAAAACTCTCTAAACTTGGTCGCTCCTCCGAGTATATCTCTGACTCCTCATAAAAAAACCTACGGTCAGTTGCATACGACTTAAAAACTGTAGATCTCTCCATTTCGTAGGAAAAAAAAATTGGAAAAAAGAACAGCCGAACATTGTTTATGTATAGCGAGAAGATTGTGACACAGTCGTAAGCTTATCGGTAAATCTTCGATTTTGGAAAAGAAGATCTGTAAGCCTCACTGTATCAAGAGAGTATCGATGCTGGACGCGATGAGTTAGAGGGGCTTGAAGAAATTACCCACGAAACTTGCGTGTTTATACCGGTACCACTCAGAGCCGGAGCCGGTCTAGTACTGTGAAAGCCGCAATATTTCTCAAAAACCAATTTAGAGAATAATTCTACGATTACAACAACAACAAACGTCATTCACAGATAGTCAATTATTACCTTTACCAACTCACATTCAAGGAATGGCGTCATTGGAATACAACCTCAAACCAAAGCAGATGAAGAGCTCAAGCTACTTCGTCTGGCGCGATTACTATTGACGTACCTAAGGTCTGGAGGCTGTAGTAGATTCAACTCCAACTGAGACTCGATAACCTCAAGGTAGGCCCTTGTCGGTACACCTCTATATAGCACGTTTCCTGGGACTCGCATCAATCAATATCGATCCCAACTGCTAGCTTTAGCTGCATCGAAGTGTGGTTACTTAACCGATACAACAACAACAGTAAAAAGAACGAAGCAAACAATTTCCGGTATTGATTTTACGTTAAGGAATTTCCGTGTATCCATCTCGGAGCTCTAAAGCGAGCTACAAGCTTTACCAATCGAAATCGAAGCACCGTTACAACCCTAAGACGTTTCAGTACTCACAAGCTAATCGCTGTAAGTCGCGGGTATGCGGCAAAACGAATGGAGCCGCACAAAGAAATAGCGTCACCAGCCGACCAGCGGCTGCAGCACTAGTAGCCGCAGCGTGTGAAACATGTTTTTTTTTTTGTTTTGGCCAATTGTGTGTAGTGAATGTTGGCCATATGTACTCGCACCAATTACACATGTGGTGTATGGGTATGTGCGTGTGTGTATACCACGTTGCTGGCCGCTGCAAGTGGTGAGCCATTCGGTAGTTGCCAGCTATGTACGTTGGTAGGTAGGCAACGCGGCGCTGCAGCATGGACTTGACCTTGAACATATTAGCGGCGTAATGTGGCTAATGAATAGGCGCAATGAGCGCGTTCAATTGTGCGAATGAGGCGCAGAACAAAGCGGTGCCAGCGGCGGCATGCATTGTTTGTATGTATGCATGTATGTATGTAGCATAGTAATGGGCGGAGGAGCAAGATTGATTGTACTAATCGGAAAACTGAGGTATTGTTGTAAAAAAAAAACTACTTTCACAAAATACTCGATACGAGTTCCAAGTACCAAGTTCAGTTCCGCGCCGAATCGTGGCTGTGGCGATGACAAGTTGACAATTTTGTGGGCGTTGCACGCATTGATTTAAGATTAAAGAGAGCAACGGTAGTGCGGAAAACGACGGCGTGCATTGGATTGGTCTCCGACTGGCGATTGGCGGGCAGCGGTGGTCGGTGGTCAGCAAAGCAGCAATTTGATTGATGTGATCGTGTAGCGAGTAAAGTGGACAAATTGCGCTGTTTATGAGCAAATAAAAGCAACAATTTAACAACACACTCGGGCACCTTTAACGAGGAATGCGGTTGAGAACTTGTCGGTCGGCGAAGAAGGAGAAGGTCAAGTGTATGCAGTCAATAAATTGTTGGCATACTGTGATCATTATTAGAGATCGTGGCACGAGAAAATATGTGTATGTGTATGTGCAAATGAGAAATAAAAAGCAATAACAACAATTCTTTTTTTAAGGACAAATAAAATTCCAAATGCATATTTTTTTTATTTACTTATGGACCAACAACAAACTCCAGCTGTACAATAGTAATGAGAACTTGAGAACTTTAGGCGCTGTAAGAAGATAACAGTAAATGTGTATGTATGCACGATATATGATAACAGTGTTATGGAAGCGGCGTTTTGAAGTTGGCTGACATTGGCAGTGTGTGTGATTGTGTGTGCTTGAATTTCGATAGGATACAGGTGTAGCGGGACTTCGTCCGACGGGCTGCAGGCATTAGTGCCTGTGTATTTAGTTGCAGTATGGGAAGTTGGGGCATTGATGTGGCGACACACCAGCTGGGTACTGACGTTCAGTCCAACCGGGTAGTGGTGGTGCAGCAACAGCGCCATGTCCGGCATTCACATCACAGAATGGATAGTTGGGGCAGGTGTGTGGATTGACGCCAGCTGGGAATTTATCACCACCAGCACTGGGCGCTGGTGCGGGTTGCCATGAGGGTGCGGCGGGTGCACCCCAGTGGGGTTGTGGTTGCCAAGCGGGTGCTGGTGCGCCCCATTGGGGTTGTGGCTGCCAAGCGGGTGCTGGTGCGCCCCAATGTGCCTGTGGATTGTGTAGGCGTGCGTTATCACAGATCGGGAAACCGGGGCAGTCCTGTGGATTCACACCAGCTGGATATTGAGCGGCTGGCAGATGTTGTGGTTTGGCCAAGGCGACGGCGAAGAGGGAGATGAATGCCTGTTGTGGGTGGTGAAGTAGGGGAAGAAAATGGTTTTAGTTGTAGTTAATCCAGCGGTCGGCGATGTGTGCTTATTTTTTTTTGTGATTTTATTTAATTTTATTTTATTTTTTTTATTTTAAAGTAACTTTACGTTATTAAATTTTATTTAATTTATTTTATTTCGATTTTTATTCCTTTACTTTGGTATTTCTAGGTAACTTTTTAATTTGCTTTATTAATATTTTTTTAATTATTTATTTTATATAATAAATTTTTTTTATTGAATTTTTTTCTATTTTCCTACTCACCAATTTGCAGAACATTTTTTTTAAAGTTTTTTTGTTTTTAAGTCCTTAAAGGTAACGAAATAACAGTAACAAAAAATTAAATACAATATTTTACACCACGAAATAACCCAATCGGACTATAAAAATCGATTTTGTTTATTTAGGAATTTTTAAACTTCCAATTGGTTTTTCGTACTCCGTCGTACTGTGCTTGATTTTGGCCGCAGCTGACACTTATATACCCGTACAGTTAGAATTTGCGTTTGAGAGTTTGGCGTTTGCATTCGCCTTTGCGCTCACCATTTACGCGATCTTCGAAGCCAGGCCGCGGCGCTGCAACGGCATAGAAGTCGGCAAAATATTGTAACAAAGCAAAGCGAGCGCCAAGCAAACGGCAGCACGTAACCCGCTGCTGCCCCCCTCCCAAAAAACGAAACGCCAGAAATATGCAGTACTCTAGTTTGCTCTAAGCATAAGCGCTCACACACATCTACATACATATGTATGTATGTGCATTTACTGTTATTGTACTAGCGCGTTTTATGTTATGTTTGTAAGTGCATAGATACGCCCGGGCGTATACTTAATATAGAATACGACACCTTACAAAACAAGTGGCCGCTCTTAGCACACACACACACACATACACACATAGACACCTCTAACGCCAAACAGCGTACAGCGCGGCAGGAAAGGGCAGCGTGTTTGTCGTGTGCTGCTGTTGCTGCTGCTGCTGCTGCTGCTGCTGCTGCTGCTGCTGCTTTTGGCTGCTCTGGGCTGCTTTGGCTGCTCCGTTGTTTGACTGATCGCATATTTTGTTTGATTGGTGCAACAGATTATTATTGAACTGTATTGTTGGCTTACTTCTTGTGCTGAACCCACGGCCCGTGCTTGGCCTGCTCTGATCTGGCTTGGTGAGTGAGTTACTTGCCACACTCCGCGCGCCAGCACATTCAACTTTCATTCATTTGGTGCCGAAATAAGTTGTAGAAGGCCAGGAGCGTATTGAAGGTGTGTGTGCGCATAGCATGGGCTGTGCGTTGTTGTTGGTATGAACGTTAAAAGACGGAAGTACAAAAATATAATTAAAAATATTACTAAAATTCATAATTATTTAAGAAATAAAGGAGGATTGCAATTATATTTAATGAATTTTTGCAGGTGCTTTGAGAAGTATTTCGGTTTTGACCTTGCTGGGCTTTATCGAAATGAAAGTAAAAGCCTCGTTACAAAGAATACCCGTAAGGACCGAGACAAATACTGCCATATGGGAAATAATAAAGTTCTAATGAGGCTCATTGGTTCAAGAAAGTGCCACCTAACAGAAAGAGCAGAGCAACTTATCCCATAAAAAAGGTGTAAAAGCAAATTTTTTCTCTTCTAATTAAGACTCTTGAATCGCCGTATCGAACCTTGCATAGTTTATGTTAGGTTTGGTGGAAACAACTGATTCTAATCGGATCTCACATAAACTCATAAGACGTGATACCGTAAAGAGTAAATATATTCCGAAAGCCAGATAAAGTTTTTATATTATTAATTTTAATATCCTCAGCTTGGTAGAGGTATGCGATACCAGAATTTTCAGTTGCAGTTTCGCTTGTACGATTCTATTCTTCCAAACAACTACGCAAGTAGAGATCCGTAAAAATCCTAAGTCCTCGTGTATTTCCACCCTACAATATTCAGTCAGAACTTCCCCTAAGTGCGAAAGTTGGTTCTTTGAAGGGAAAGGAACTTGCCTGACCTCCATGATCCATCTTAGGTCCGAAAGATGTTGTTATCGCCCAGCTCTCTCTAAGTTAGCTCATACAGCTCAGCATACCCAAGTCTTTTGAGGAGCCGCTTTGCACGGCTTTAACAAAGTATTGGTGCCCGCACAAACTCATCATCATTGCAGCTCGCAGCTATTGCGCTGTGACTTGGTACCTTTATGAATGATCAACAATGAACAACGATTCTTAAAAACTTTAAAGCTCACCATGAGTGAATCTTGGCGTGTCTCACAGAAATTCGAAGCAGTATGTGCACCTTCCTTACAGCTCTAGCCCTCGCCGAAGAATAGTTCTCAACGGAAGACTTTCGCCCCGACCTTTCCTACAGAGGTTGTGTCACTTCAGTCCTCGCGAGGTTATGGTGGAGAAGCAACCACCCAAGGCCGGTTCGGAAATACAATAATTCAAACAATCGGTGATAAATTAGAACCACTCAAGATTAGCGGAATACCACACGCTTGAGCCGACCAATAATGCAAACTTTCTCAGTTTTACAATCGACTCAGTGCAACACAGATGTTAGTGTTCGCGGACTGTTGTAAGATTTCCAGTTGCCTAGCTGAAATACCTCTATCTAGGGGACTCTACCATGCGGAGAATCCATAAGATTAGCTAGACAAAAGTTGTATAGATCCAACATATTGCTTTAGTTATACACAACTTTAGGAGAAAGGCCTCATCGCTTACCGAAAAATCACATTTTTTACTGATTGCGACCTCTCTTCGATATTTGCCCCCCCCCCCCCCCTGGACAGTTTCCTGTCTAGGCTAATGGCCAAGTATTTCATTTTCTCGAGCAAATAAGGGCGAACGAGGGCGCTACCGCCGTTAAGATCTTATGATTTACGTTGAATAAGACAAGTTCTGATTCACTGGGACTTACAGCAAGATCAGTTCCAGCCGCCAGTTCATGGTTATTATAGATAACTTCACAAGATGTCGGAGTAATGATTTCTGCTGGAAGGCTTCTTGTTGGATCACCTTACAAGAAAAAGCTCAGTTTGCTTTTACTCCGTCTCTTTTAATAGATTTTTTGGGCTCCTTAAATAGATATTTTGGGTAGAGGGACCGTGAGATGACAAAACTTTAGACCATTTTGTTAATTAACCGTTATTTTTACTAATTGAATGATCGGTCTTACATTTTAAAGGTTAAAGCTGAAATCTAACCTTCAATTCTCGCTTTATTAATTTAAACACAGCAAATAAATAAATTAAATTAATTACTTATGCATATATTAAGTAATAAAATAATTATTAAGCTAAAATTACACATTTCATGGCTATTTAATTTAGCATAAACATTTATACTCCACTCTTTGGTTGCTTGAATTTGCCACAGATTTCCTCACCTTTTCGCCCTACAAAGAAGAAAAAAATGCTCACATCAATTAAATTGCTCCATTATTTGGCCTTAAATTAAATCATTAAAAATCGAAATAAAATGCATTTTTAATTCAAAATTTGCATTGCTTTGCAGCAACTCAGGGAATGGGCATTTCAATTCATCAGATATTTCTTTATTATTATTACTGAATTTTTTGTTGTTGTTGTTTGCCATTTGCCTATTATTTCTTTGAAAGATTTGTATGCTCATTTAAGACTATTGCGTTTATACTACCCACTGAGAGGAATTAGGTGTGATTAAATGTAAAACAATTAACTAAAAACTCAAAAAAAAAAAAAAACAAAAAAAAATGGTGTGTGTACACACATACATGCGCTTTTTTCGTTTCAGGAATTTATGGTAAATTTTTGGTGGAAAATTTTTGTTTTCTTGCATTCATGGCTGGCGGCTCTGTGATTAATAGTTAGGGATTTAGGACTGTTCAATGCAGCATATACATATGTTTGCTTGGTTGGTTAGTTGGTTGAAAGAGGAAGGTTGAGAAGTTGACTGCAAGCAGCCGCATCTAACCCAACAAGGAACCTCATTATACGAGTTGTGTTCAAAAAATATCACGAATTTTGTGTTTTTTAAAAATTATTTGTTTATTCATGAATATCTATTTTGTACCCTTCAAAGTAATCCCCAACACTTGTGCCAACGGTTTTTCCAATCTTCGAAGCACTTCAAAAAATTATTATTTTTTATCTTGTTCAGCTCACCCTTTGATGCCGTCTTTATCTCGTCAATCGTAGCATAACATAGTCCTTTCATGGGCCTCTTCAGTTTAGGGAATAAGAAAAAGTCACAGGGGGGCCAGATCTGCGGAATACAGTGGCTGCGGCATCATTAGTGGGTTGTTTTTGGCCAAAAAGTCGCGCACAAGCAACGATGTGTGAGCAGGGGCGTTATCGTGGTGCAAAAGCCAATTTTTGTTCTTCCACAAATCCGGGAGAATCTTCGCCGGATTTTACTCTACAGCTCCTTCTGAATGTCAACCACTGCAAGTGTAGATCTGACGTCAAAGCTAATCAAAAGAAAAAGCTCAATCCGCCGCACGAAGACAGTTTGCTGTTATTGTTGTAACAATTCTCCAACCCTAAGGAACAAGTAAGGCTAGTTCTAAGTCATCGAGGTTATGTTATTTACTAAACGGTAGAGCCCTGAAGATTTTCTTTGTTAAAATTAACACACTTACGGTGGTCCTTGGAAACCAGCTCGAGAGCCCAGTCGATCGATACAACTGCTTGCAAACGATCTGATACTAAGTTCTTCAGCTTAGGCTGCCAGACTATGACTATATTGCTGGCAACGTTGTCCTTAGAGCAGAATGTCGAATCGTCTGTTTCACCAGCTGCATTCTTATACATGCGTACATTTGACAGACGAGAACATAGCTAAGGCCTGCTATTTTAAGGTGGTATCCATTTACTTTATTTCACCGTTCATGAGATTATAACTCACGATATTGTACGGGTTGAACGCCAGGCCTCCACCACGATCTCGCCTGCAGTCTTTGCGAATTATGTTATAACCAGGCCGGCCTGAAAGATTCAGCTTTATTTCATGGATCGCACTTATTAGCACTTGCTTCTAGTTCAGGAAGTCGACTATCTCGTCGATCGATTCCGTTGTACCTGCATACCACAAACCAGAGGAGAAGCTGGAAATTCTTTTATTTAACTTAACTTATAACTACAAAGTTGGCTGTGTCTGGCTTCCGATGACTCAATAATGAAACAATAGAAATAGAGCCTCAAAAGGTACTACTTTGAACTGAGCAGGCAATCGGAAAGTAAGTAAAGACCAAACTCCATAAGTCCATCATCATTCCCGTCCTATTTTATGCTGCGGAGGCATGCATCGTCCATCGCAACGACGTGTACCGCAGTCGATGGAACGATGACCTGTACGTGGTATACGATGGCATACCTTAGTGAAGGTAGAAACAACTGTCAGTGATGGCCAGGTTCTGTCTTTCGAATGAATGAAAGCACTACTGCTTTGAAAGTATTCGAAGCAGACCTCCACTCCGTTAAAAAAATCAAATGAATAGTGACCTGGTTG